GAAGCTCTTATGTAGATCAGCCAGTAGAGATGACCAAATACTCATACTCTTATTATTTATTAATTATAATAGAAACATATAAGCTCCAATTGAGACAGGGGCTCAGTTGCGCTTGGTACTGTACATACATATAGTGAGAAAAGTCCCTGCTCCAAAGAGCTTACAATCTAAATAGATAAGACAGACAGAACGATGAAGAAGGTAAGTAAGTTTGGATACATATTTTCCCCACCACTTTTCAGTATTAAGATAATCAATTTTTAGTCATCCAGCAATGGCCAAAAGAAACAGTTTTGGACGAGTCCCCTCCCCCAAATCTTGAATATCCAGGCTAATATTCATCAGTTTATAATTGAAATACTCACAAAACTTAGCTGAATAGTAATACCACCAATGCTGCAATCATTTCATTTGAGAGAGAATGTATTATTAATTAAGACAATTACATCCTCTTAATATATTACAATTCATTTTAAAATGTTAGCATTGCCTTTATTATTAAAAGCCTACAAATCTCCACAATCTCAACAAAAATCAGTTCAGCAGCATATTAACATCTTAAAACATTTAACACCTAGTTTGGGGGTTGTTTTTTGAAAGGGTGATGAATAGACTTTCTTTCCACACATCACACGATGGTCTCACTGATGTTCTATAGCAATGGTTCTCAAACTTTTTTTTTTCCACGGACCGCTTGATAATTGCTGAGGTTCTCGGCACACCATTTAATGATCTTTCCAAATGTTGTTAGTTAACTATTGTAAAGCGCTTTGGATAAAAGCGCTATATAAAAAATCCTTAATTAATTAATGTTTTTTTGTTCTACAAATAAAAGCACACAACTCATATTTTAATACCAGTAGTCTTACCTTTCTAATGCGATGGATGTGCCCTCTCTCCCCTGCTGCAGCTGGGGCTGGGAGGAGGGGGGTCCCCCCCTCCACAGCAGCCCCCGAGCTGGGGCTGGGAAGGAGTCGGCGATGGAGTCTCTCCCTCTCTCCCCTGCTGGGGCTGGGAAGGAGGGGGGTCCCCCCCTCCACAGCAGCCCCCGAGCTGGGGCTGGGAAGGAGTCGGCGATGGAGTCTCTCCCTCTCTCCCCTGCTGGGGCCGGG